GCCAGCCTGTCGATTTGTCCCGCTATGCTAATATTTTAGTGTTCACTGACTGTGAAAACAATAAATTTCTAAAGACATGAATAATTATAATAACTCGAAATTTACATAGCGGGACAAAATCGTCAGGCTGGCTACGCCACTGGCCGTACCTAGTAATTGTGGAGGGGGTGATAAAATCATATCTTCGTGTTTTACACGTAATAATTATGTGCTCTTCACAAATGTAAATATTTCATGCTGTATTGCTGTATTAGTGTTACTTGATTGTATATATTCTTTATCAATCATGTGCGACGTGTCAACGCACCACAATCGACCACATCTTTAAAACTGTGAAATAGAAGGAGCGTTATTACATATCTATGTTATTAAAATAGGACCAAATTCACATGCATATTCAATGTAATTTTACCGCAGTGAAACCGAAATTTAATCTAACTTACTAACAGTAATCAAATTGTTGACTATAGGTGAAGTTGCCATATCATGTGATTATTAAAAAATGAAATCGCGCAGCGGAAAATTGACCCATTCATTATCGATTAGAACACCACGGCTGTTTCGAGGCAAAACGCTGACCATACGATCTTTACACGGCTAAAATCTCTGAGCCTGCGGGCTGCGTTTTATCAGCATGGAACAATTTTGTTGTGCTGCCAAGCTGTTCACACTTGTCACCAACATTGAACAATATTTTTGAAAATGAATCGGGTGTAACAAGATTGTTCAATGTTGATAACGACTCTGAACAATGTGGGCCGCACAACATTGTCAACCTGATCGTTTTTAGGCGAACTTCACATCATTTCCACTAATGCTTGGATCCGTTATAGTTTAAACTGGGTCTCTAAACTCATTGATTTAAGGGTTGCCAGATTACTGAATAATATGTAGTTAAATATTATTACCGCATCCTTTGTTTTCGTTGTTTGAGACATTAAAGAAATCAAAGAGTCAGGTCTATTTACTCAGTTTCTGTAGTTTAATCGGTTTTAAATGTTTAATCAACTTTAAATGTTTAATCCGTTTTTTAATCTCACAAACGAAAATCTCAAATTTCGGTGAAATTCTTTCATTTATTCTGATTAGTAACCAGCGCACTGATTCTTTCTTGGCTGGCACGGCGGAGCACGAAAAAAAAAGCTGGTTATGGATGCGACCTGCCAGTGCCCGAACTTAAGATAACACATGCGCAGTTCCAATAGTTCCGAACGAACTTAAATATGGCGCTACCTCGATCCAGGCAGCCTAGCATATAGGTTTTATCTACACTCCAGATGTCTCAGCTTGGAAGAAGAATTCAGCAGAAGGCTTATACTGGGTGCTTCACCTTATACTGGGTGTCATACTGGGTATATAGGGTGTTCGATTGTTTCTTAATGATAAAAGTTATCGAAATGAAACAAGTTTTATTAGTTAGAGGAAAAACTAACTTAAAGTATAATAATGTCTTGGTTCCATTTTAAGAAAATTGATCGAGATAATCATTATATACTTTTCAAAATCGGTACACCAATTTGTATGTTCCCCCATTTTAGGGATGTAGCTCTAAAATATGAAAATTACGCTTCATAAAAAGAATTGCTTATTTGTTAATTATTATTAATTTATTACCCGAGAAAACAATTATTTAATTGCGTCTTTGTGAAAGTAGTGTCGCAGCTCCTCGCAAGAATAATGTTCATTGGCTGAACTTTACAATACATTTCTGTTTCAACGAATAGATTAGCTTCGTTCCTTAGAAGAGCATTATCCAATCGGACGAAAGCTTGCGAGAGCTGCGACATGTCCGCTTTGTGATATAATAGAGGAATTTTCAAGGTCTTGCGAAATGGTATCATTCACGCTAACCATGACGGCTGATAATTCTTGATGTATCACATGCAACTACCTCATCCAGTCATTGTTTAATGATATTGTACTAATAATGATACATTTGCCTTTATTTGTAGGAATGTTAATATGTTGGGAATTTTTGGAGCAGCTCAAAGAGGAAATTTTAAGCGTGTTAAGGAGTTGGTTGAAAATGGTGTCGATGCTAATGGAGTGGACTGGTCAAATAAAAATATGACAGCTCTTCACTATGCCGTCATATCTCGCTCCTTGGATATTGTAGAATGTTTAATAGGACATGGCGCGAGTATTAATTGCGGAAACAGCAAGGATAGGACTGCCCTTCATTATGCGGTCAAATCTAAATCATTCCACATAGTAAAATACTTGATTGAAAATGGTGCCGACGTAAATTGTAAAGACCGTTTGAGTGAAACTCCTCTGCACATTGCTGCCACGTCAGGTTCACTGAAAATGGTGAGATTTTTGGTTGAAAATAATGCTGATGTGAATTGTAAAGCCCCCGAAGGCAAAACTGCTCTTCATTTTGCAGCCGAATCCAAAGCGTACGAGATTGTCAAATATTTAGTTGAGCGTGGTGCCAAGGTCATCTCTGAATACAATGAAAACTTCAAGACTGTTCTTTATGTGGCTTGTGAATCCGGTGACAGCCAAATAGTTGATTACCTCCTGCAACACGGAGCTTTAAATGATATAGATAGACACGATAATTTAGACTGTTCTCCTCTAAAAGTGGCTTGCTTTAGAGGCCATACAGCCGTTGTGCAAACTTTGCTCAAGTTTAACGTTAATATAAAGAATAACAAGCAATTGATATGTGGCAACGAAGAAATCTTGACTATTCTGAAGTTTGAATTAAGGGAGGTTCCAAAGTCCGTTAAACATGGCGAGAAATTCCACATTTTAAAGAATATCGATGTTGAAAAGCTAAAGAAGGTACATAGATTAATTTTAGTCTGTATTTATTTTAAGACAGAACTAAAATATCGCTCGAGAGTCTTAACCCTGACTGAAAGTAGTATGAAAATATTTATCAAATTCGAAATTTTTTCGTTGTATCAATCTCGTTCACAAACTTCGACAGTTTAATGGAATTGACTTTATTTGTTTTAAGTCGTAGCACTTTTTCCATTCGTAGCAATTTTCCCATCTCACTTGGTGATGCATGGTCTTTATACTATCCCTGCCCAAGTTGCATCTTGGGAGTGTCCACGCACGATTATTGTGTGAACCAATTGCTGGGATATTTGTATAAGAATGTGGGAACAAAATGAACAAAATCAAGTGCGTGATAAATTCTGTAATATAATAAAAAAATATTGTTTTACACAGTTCATGCATGTTTTGTAGTAAAATATAACGTTCATAACGATCTAGTTCGGTATACCTTGGAGTGCATTCCGTCTGGTTAATTTTTGCTGTTGAGACATTTCGAGTATTTCGATAAAATAAAGGCACCTCGCGCGTTTTCTATTTTGGCGCCCTTGCGTGAAATAAAAAAAATCACAAATCACAGAATATTTTAAAAAAGTTCATCGTGAGGGCACGGCCAGTTTTTAAAATATTTTCATTTCTTCTCTGATTAATTAGCAAAATTACTCTGAAGCCGTACTAAACCTACTACAAATTTTAAATCTCGTCAAGTACAAAAATATTTAACACCTATACCCAAGGTATGATCCTAAAAATAAGCTAAATTTTGAAACTAGACTATTTCCAAGCCTATTTTGACGAAATAATTATCTTTGTATGTCAGTATAAAATATCTTTTGGCGTTTGCTTTTTGGAAAAATTTTACAACAACGCCTGCGAAGCAACCGGGTTTAAAACATTTGGGCCCAAGATTATGATCCCTTTTTCCCTGATGACATTATCGATATTTTATACCATCAAACGCCTAACAGGTTTTTCATTTCTTTTAGCTAAATTTAAAATTGAGACCGCGGGCTATTTTCTTAAAAAGAAAAAACTAAATCTTGATATTTTCAGATATTTGCAAAATTCATCAAATTTATTGGGCTTGCCTTGTATTTTCAATGAAACCTGTAAACGTTACATTAAGAAACATAAGATGAAAAGTTTGAGGTGCAAAAAATAAATTTCGGTTCAGATTTCATTCTTATGTCACGTCTTTCTTCGTTGAAGCCGGTTTTTTGGAACTAAAGCAAGCCGATGCAATCGCATGCCTCGACGTATACGCTATTTGCCTCCATGTCACGTCGCAAAATGCACTTAATTATTCCACTTAGTTGATTGCAAAGAGAGTCATCCCAAAAAAGAATCCAAGATCGATTAAACAACAACAACAACAATAAGATGTAGGTTATTTGAAAAATAAGCAAACATTTTTGTTTTGAATGGCCTGATGTCTGCGATTTATTGGTCAGCGTAACAATCTTTTTTAATTCGCACGTCACCATAGTTACATCCCTTTGTACTTTTGAAGCTAAGCATGCCCGCACAAACATACACTCATCACGTGTTGCTCTTAGTTACCTAATGACCTAATCTCACAAATATATTTCGAACTTCGTGGTTAACTGATCATTTTTAAGTTCTTTATTTTCAATCTAAATATTTTTTGGGAAACGTCTGTAAAGAGGTCTTAAAAAACTTGTGACATTATACTCGTTTCAATGAGGAGTCCAGCTTTAGGAATTCGTCTTTAGCATGTTACATGTTGCTTGTTTTATATTTCCTCCTTGTCCCGTAGATTGGGCCTCCACTACAATATTTTGCCTCAGAGAAGCAGTTAAGCCTTGGTTGTGGTTCATTTGGCACGTCTGTGTACGTCGGAATCTTAGAAGATGGTAGCGAAGTGGCTGTTAAAAGGATATTGCGTGAAGCTGCCGATGAGAATGAAATTGCTGTCCTGAGACGAATAGACACAACGAAATTGCCATATATTTTGAGCTATCGTTATTTTCTTGAAGACGAAAACTTCAAGTATATAATCTTTGATCTTTGTGAAGAAACATTGAGCGCGTATGTTAAGGCCTTGATACACTAGGAAATGTTTCCGAAACAAAGTTTCGGAAACAAGTTTCGGAAACAAAAGTTTCGTGTGTATCATAAAAAGTTTTCCGAAACTTTTGTTTCGGAAACTGGAAATTTTGTTTTGGAAACTTGTTTCGGGATTAGAGCAATGTTCTATTTTCTGAAACATGTTTAAGAAACTTTTCAATGATAACCAATCAAACGAGCCATTTCAAACCACGTGACGATGCAGATTTCGGGCATTGGAATTTTATGGCGGAGCAAGATGGCCGGTGGGAAAGAGTTTTGGAATTCGGAAAAAACTGAGCAATTCATAGCATTATGGGAAAGCAAGCTATGTCTGTATGACACGACAAAAGAAGAATATCACGATCGGAATGCCAATCCACTTCCTTGTCCAAATTTTGCGATTTCGTCGTCTTCTGGCTATTCTCCTCAGTATTATATTGACAATGAGAGCACCGCAAATAGCTACTAATCTTCTCTTTTTTAATTTTTGCGCAAAGAACTCCCTTTTTAACATTTTTAATCCTATTTAATGCATACTTGCAATTTTCCCGCCAAATTTAAACTGCGTAAACTATTCAAAACGTGTATATCCGATTGTTTCGGAAACTTGTGTTTCCGAAACTTGTTTCCGAAACTTTGTTTCGGAAACATTATCTAGTGTATCAAGGCCTTAAAATCACAAAATGTCCCGCACCTGCGAGAACAAGGCCCAAGGATGATCAAGGAGATATTACTAGGTGTAAAATGCCTTCATGATCAAAGAATCTTACATAGAGATCTCAAGCCTTCAAATATATTGGTTGATTTTGAGGGACATTTGAAAGTAGCAGACTTTGGACTCAGCCGCGTTTTGAAAGAAGGTGAAACAACAGTTAAAACTTATGCAAAGGGAACACGAGGCTGGATGCCTGCCGAAGTTATAGAAGCGGGAAATGAAGAAGAAAAAGGACGTTATAAGAAGAAATCCGATATCCAATCTGTCGGTATGATCGCTTTTTTCATTTTAACAGGTGGTAAACATCCCTTCGGGGCTACCATGCAAGAACGTATGACAAATATCTCAAAAGGAAATCCTGTTGACCTATGCAAACTTGAAGATGCTAATGCCAGACACTTTGTAGCATGGCTGATCAGTCATGATATTGACAATAGACCTTATGCCAGTGAAGCATTGGAGGATTACATGTTCCAAAACATTAAAAGTGTTGAGGAACCTCAAAATTCTCTTATAATCTCGCGTGAGAGTTACCTTACTTTACTTTTTTAATGGTCAATTTGAGCCATTATTGTGCATGGTCTTCAATACTACTACCGTGGATGAAAAGTTTTTGTAACCGTTTCTCTTCTTGAAACGACAATAGAGTTGGCACTGTAATAGTATTGGACTTTTTAACCTAATATTGCCAAAAGGTAATTCACTAGGTAATAGGTAATAGAGTATTGCCAATAGGTAATTTACTTTAATATTTTTAGCCTTTAACTTAGAAACACATTCGATAGAAAATATAGAATATAATTATCACATATGATTAATATTGATATTGACATTAATATTGCTCCATAACATTAAAAGTGTTGAGGAACCTCAAATTCTCTTATAATCTCGCGTGAGAGTTACCTTACTTCTTTTTTAATGGTCAATTTGAGCCATTATTGTGCATGGTCTTCAATACTACTACCGTGGATGAAAAGTTTTTGTAACCGTTTCTCTTCTTGAAACGACAATAGAGTTGGCACTGTAATAGTATTGGACTTTTTAACCTAATATTGCCAATAGGTAATTCACTAGGTAATAGGTAATAGAGTATTGCCAATAGGTAATTTACTTTAATATTTTTAGCCTTTAACTTAGAAACACATTCGATAGAAAATATAGAATATAATTATCACATATGATTAATATTGATATTGACATTAATATTGCTCCATAACATTAAAAGTGTTGAGGAACCTCCAAATTCTCTTATAATCTCGCGTGAGAGTTACCTTACTTCACTTTTTTAATGGTCATTTTGAGCCATTATTGTGCATGGTCTTCAATACTACTACCGTGGATGAAAAGTTTTTGTAACCGTTTCTCTTCTTGAAACGATAATAGAGTTGGCACTGTAATAGTATTGGACTTTTTAACCTAATATTGCCAAAGGGAATTCATTAGGTAATAGGTAATAGAGTATTGCCAATAGGTAATTTACTTTAATATTTTTAGCCTTTAACTTAGAAACACATTCGATAGAAAATATAGAATATAATTATCACATATGATTAATATTGATATTGACATTAATATTGCTCTATTACAACTAACCATTAATCTTATAATCTTTTTATAACTCTTCAGATGCCTTTTTTAAACTGAAACTAATTGTCGACCGCTTAGCTCTCAAATTTTCTTATTATTCTGCCAACAATATTGAATAAGTATAAAGTACGTGGTAACGTATGGTTTATACTTCATACAGACTATCTGTATTCGTGCGGAATACAGATAGTTGTTTTCCAAAGCCCTTAACAAAATTCTCAACAAAATGCACCCTAAATGGTTCCCTCCTCTAACGTTACCACAAACATGCATTAATAATTCCATTTAATTTCGCTTTAATTTTCGTTATTTTCCCTACCAAAACACCAAATGAATGAATGAACTTCACCTGGTTCTATAAGTATAAACTAGCAAACTGAAAATGAGGAAAATAGATAAAAAGTTGTATCTTTGGCCCGTTTCAGATGCCAAACTTTTTATGTACCGAATCAAATCCAAATGAGCTTAAACATAGACTTTATCTCATTAACATTACGTTCGGCACATGAAAAGTTCGACGTCTTAATTAAAGAGGTCTTAAGTTAACGTTTTTAAAAAGCTAGTATCATAAAAAGGTTATATATCCAGGAGGCATTTATACTTAATTATACATGTACACAAACTTAGCCCAAGTAATCCCGTCTTACGCCAAGTTTATACACTCAAATTTTCTTTAATCGCAATTGACCTTTTCAAGCAGCAAATCCTAAGTTTCAAAGTATTTCAAATCAGCTTGACGTTTTAATAGCACGTTTTTTATACCAGCGTTTATGTGTGTGGGTCTATAATAGGAAGTTTGAGCAAGGCAACGAAGTACGAAGACGAAGACAAACTTCACAATTTTTTAACGTCTGCGCATCATTTGCGCATACTCCGCTTAAGGTCAGCGGTGAGGGTTTAACGTCTTCGTCCTGTTGTCCTGGTTTAGGACGAATATTTTGACAAAGTTCGTTGTGGTCAGAACGAAGTTTTCAAAGTAAGATATATTCAAGCCAAATCTTGAATAGTTCTTGTATGGAATATAAATGTTGTTTGAGATTTTTAGACCGTAAAGAAGCATAACATCTTCCACTTCCAAAGCATCTTCTGAAAACATTGCTAAAATAGCCATCTCGTATTCAGCTCTGTTCATGTTTACAAAATTAGTACCGTGTTCGTAGTCGTATAACTTTGACAAAACTGCTCAATTCAAATATCCCGCTGCACGAAGACTTAAGACGAAGACTACTATTCCCAGTCTACCTCGGCCGAAACACGTCTTCGTCTTCGTGCTTCGTTTCCTTGCTCAAACTCGCTAATATGCTGCTAAAGACAGTGCAGCATAACTGCATCTCAATATGATGAACTGCAGATTAGAAAAAAAGATAATATATAGTTCTGATTATAAATGCTTTTAGTTAGTTACAATTAAAAACACTCTGTTGCCTATGAGGAATCAAGTTTCCTGCGAGGTATAATCATAGAATCCTCGCCTAAGCTAAGGAACTGTACGCAGCAGAGATCGGCTGTGGCAAGCTCTAAAAGGCTAATTTCCACTCCGGAAAACGAGCAGCGGATCGGATCGGAACGAAAGATAATCCGCGCGTGCGCCGTCTGTTGAAATTTTTGGCTTATATTGACCCGAAAGCGTCCGAGACCGGATAAAAAAAAGTTCAAATAGTTTTAACTTTTTTTTATCCGATCCGAAATCACTTCATGGATCGGACCAGGCTCGGAAAAAAATCCGATCCGCTGCTCGTTTTCCGGAGTGGAAATTAGCTAGCCTTAATGGGTGGCAGCGAACATGGATTATCACATTTTCGCAGTCGTACTCTTGTTACCGAATACCATTTCAGCAGCGACATTGTTGAAAAAATGTAATGCATGAAATGGGAAAATGAATCTAAAATCTAAAATGAGAAAACATTTATGTATATGTATATCCATAAAGATCATTATTATGTCAGTTTAAATACGAATCCGACAAACTTGGTACCATTTTACATACCATATATATCGAAGCAATCGTCGTGTACGCGGTTTGGCCGGAAATAAAAATTATTTTTCAAAAAAAAATGTAAAGGTATCGGAACTGAGGCGAAGTGATAGGGCATAGATTTGCAAACCGGCCTGCATGCATCTTAGATGGTTATTATCAATATTCGTCACACTTATAATACCAGACATAATCTACATTGTTTATCGTAGCAGTAAACCAGGAGTAGCGAAAGTCGAATGAATGTTTAATGTGAATTCCAATTATTCGCTTTCAAATTATCTATCTAGTTAGGTATAGCCCTGACGAAAAGTTACAAAAAACAAGGAAATAATATCTCAGCTGACAAGAATTAAGAGCCCTAGGGCTGGTTTTTGTTTAGTCGCATAAATACCGTAAACGTGTCAAGTTGATTGACATTGGATTAGTGCTACACGAGTGCGGTAAATAATGGTTGATTTTTATACAAAAAATGTCAAATTTACATTCGAACTACTTAACATGGGCGAGAATGTTCTGTTCATACTAATTGTGATTTATGTAAAGATATTCATATTTTCATTACAGGCACCAGAGTGCCCGCTTGTGTAAGCTTTTTGCTAATTTCAGCGCTGTGTCTATTATCTAATTTGTGAGAAGTTGGTAGCATATTTATTGTGTTCCTTGATGGCGAAGTTTGAAATATACAGGTTTGCAAACCTATTCATCATTTTGCCAAAATCCCCCTGGTTTCATGATTTTATGGCATCTCATCCCATACGAGTAACGAGTTATATTATTTTCTAAAGAGTTTAGAAATAAAAATTACATGAAACAGATATATATTAGATTTTTTGGATGGTGGGGCGAAATTTCTTGCTATGTTACATAAAAATTGTAATGCTTAAATATTCCCAGCACTGGGAAGGGGTGTCAAAGAGCCATGTTCAAGCAACGAAGGAATTGCCCTTTGCTCCCTTGCCACAAGTGAGCCCTTGGGAACTACGGACACGTCAAATTGAATGTAAAAATTGAGTGCATTGGCGGGAATTTGGAGTCATACGGCGTGAGATACGGTATAATATTATTATACTCATCAAAATTACCAATGTATGTGCAAGAAAATCACACCCTTACGTCTCCACGATAATGTGGGTTCTTTACTCTTAGAGCGATGTTTAACGACGTACTGTTGAAATTATCTTCAGACACCATCAGTCACTTGTAGTACTCCCAAGATGAAAACAGAAGTATCTACACAGTAGCATTATCGATCGCTATCCTTCACCAGATACCAAATAAATTGGAGAAAAGAACAATATATAGTATCATAATTCAGCTAAAAAGTACTTGAAAATCATATTGCGGTGTTAACACAAGTATGACTTGTGCATAATATAAGAATTTAAGATTGAAATTACAATTATTACAATGCTATAGTCACTTGCATTTATAATATTAAAGTTGACTGTATAAAACAAACTATCCAGGTCAAATAAGTAGCTTTTCGAAGTTTTTAATTTGAGGGCTACCTAGCTTAGTTGCGTAAATCATTACTTGCTTTATTTACGATCAGAACTTATGGACAATCTCTATTCACCAAGGGTAAATAGCATACCATGGACTAGTCATTACACAGTCTGAAATTAAGCATTCATGTTTTTTCTACTTAACATTGACCCTGTCACCTTCAATTGAATCGACATTGTCACACAACAGTTCATTTGAACACATTCCTTATTTCCTTAACAAATGTATATGTGATGTTGCTACTCTGAGTCACCAATCGGGCAAGCTGAAAAATTAGCTTGACCATAATGGGAATCGAACCCGCGACCTTTGGTTTGCTAGTCCAAAGCTCTTCCAACTGAGCTACAAGGTCAAGACGGTTCGAGTGGTTGATATTTCGGAACTGATTCTAGTCCCTTCCATATCAGTGTGTCTTAAATTGATAGTGATGAGGCAAAGACTCAGGTGTGTATATTAATTGCATTATCACTATCAATTTAAGACACACAGATATGGAAGGGACTAGAATCAGTTCCGAAATATCAACCACTCGAACCGTCTTGACCTTGTAGCTCAGTTGGAAGAGCAATGGACTAGCAAACCAAAGGTCGCGGTTTCGATTCCCACCGCGGTCAAGCTAATTTTTCCGCTTGCCCGGTTGGTGAATCAGAGTAGCAACATCACATATGCAATTAATATACACACCCGAGTCTTTGCATTATCACTA